CCCAAGTGCCGTAACAGATATTTTAAAATAAAGATTATGTTTAAGTTTAGCTTGTTAAGTTTTATCCGAACCAACGGAATTCTTTTAAAATAGCGTCTCTTTTTAAAATCCATTTTTTTGAACACAAGAATTTCGCGATGAGCGTGAGCTACGTTCCTAAAGTAGCGTCTTCTAACTTAACTAAAGTTGCCCATGTTACCTTTATTGCGCTAATATTTTTTTTGAAGTTGCAAATAATAGGTGCCATCCATTAAGGACGTCAAGTAAAAGAGGATGAAATTGATAAAAAGGGATAAAGGAGAGATGGGAATAGGACAACAATTTATAGAATTTTATTTATTTTCTATTTAAACTTCAATATTTTTTTTGCCTGTAACTTCCAAAGATGGATACAAATAGTATTTCAAATTCGCTCTAGTGCCGGATAATGGGAGGGTCTAGGATGATGAAAGGGCTATAGCCCCGGCCCCCAAAAAATTTAAAGGATTTTTTTTTTAAAGTTACATTTTAGGTGCTTGCACATAGAAAGGGCCTCTAAAAGCAAAAATAGTCCTGGGCCCCAAGAAGTCCTTATCCGCCACTGATTCGCTCATAAAGTTTTAAAAAGATGCGCGTCAGATAAAGAATACAGCCGATTGTCATTTACTATTTAAGAGCCATTATCTGAGAAAGATAAATAAACATATTCTGGAAGTGATGTCTTCAAAATCTCTTCATTTTCAAATATTTTATAGAAATTAATGAAACTAGTCTGTCGTTAAGTTTTCTTTTTGAAAATTCCCATTAATTGCAGAGATATCGGGTACCGAAATTTGGGCCATTTTGTAAAAAATTACTATTTTAAAAGGTTAGCAACATGAATTTGAGAGACACATTTCTTTTTTTTTCTTTCTACTACTCTGGGTACATTTCTCCACTAAAAAGAAAAATTCAAAATGGTTACACTTTTTATTGTCTAGAAATCATAATTTAAAACCGCTAATTTTAAAATTTTACCCATACTTTGAGCATTTATATCTCCTAAGGCCATTACTTGCATATAATTTTCTTAGTTGTTTTTGAAAACAACCCCAGGGTGTGTAGGGTGTACCGATTTTCACTTTTTTTTTTTTAATTTTAGAAACGGCTTACTTTTGGTGAAGAATTTTACGGGGATTTGGAATCTAAACAAAAAAATTAAAAAAAAATTTCTTGCTAGGCGGGTTTTAAACGGAAAAATGACTAAAATATGATTAATTAGAGGGGGGAAATTATAATTTAAAAATATATAACTTGTTAATAATTTTGAAAAATTTTATGTTTTTACTTTTAAGTATATAAGTGAAAAATTTAATGATTATAAGTGAAAAGTTCACATATAAGTGAAAACTTCACATATAAGTGAAAACTTCACATATAAGTGAAAAATTTAATGGTTATTATGTTAAATTTGAAGAAAATTATATATTTGGTTCAAAAAGTAATAAAAATAAACTCATAAATTGAGTTTTTGTGAAGGGTGTTTTTACAAAAATTAGTCAATTTTTGGTATATTTTAGTCAGCGAATGTGACGGTAGAGTGCGTCTTTTTTTCCTGTTTTTATCAAATTTTAAAAATAAGTCGAATTCATTATTGTGAAGAATTTTTTAGGAAATCCGAATAAACAAAAAAAAAAAAAAAAAAAGTTTAAAAAAAAATGTCATACTTTTGAACGGAAAAATGACTAAATTATGACTAATTAAAGAGAAACAATTATAAATAAAAAATAAATAAATTTTGTAATAATTTTGATGAATTCAATATGAACTACGTTGAAATTTATAAAAATTTCATATTTGATTAAGAAGTCATTAAAGTAATAACATAAAGTGGGTTTTTTTCAACATTATATTTGGAAAAATTAGGCGATTTTTTCATATTATAATTTCATATATAATTATTTAACTAATATAATTAAATAATATTTCATATATAATTATTCAACTGGATATATTTTTACTGCATTGTTAAACGGTTCTCAGTGACAGGATTTTACTAGGTAAATTAGGTTTTTATAGGCTGTAAAATATTGCTAATAACTGTTAACATTTTATCTTATTCTAAGACTTAAGTAAGAGTAAAATGATGAACCAAAATTTATACTTTTTTCAAATAGCATAACTTTTTAACAGCCGCTGTTGAACAGTGGTTAGAGCGAATGCCCCAGATGTCAGAGATCCAGGGGTTTAATACGACCTCTGAGCATTTAGAGGAAGCATGAATATTAAGTTAAATGCTTTTCCAAGGTTGCCGTGAAAATACCGTTAGGAATTCTAGGAGCTTATCAGAGGCAAATTTTAATAGAGCCGCTCTAAAGATTGGTGTGTGCATTACCAACTGTAAATTTTTTGTCAAAGTTAAATGCAAAGTAACAAAAAAAAAAATTTTTTTATGAAAATTGATTAAAAACATTGGATTGATATCAGGTATTATTATCTAGCTTAATTTTCTTTGTGGAAACCAGAGGCAGATTTTTTAGGTCCTAAAAATATAAACTGACAAGTTCAAATCTTTAATTTGAATAGATTTCCTATTTAAAGATTTCTTAAGATGATTATCTTGATTAATCATGTTTTGATTAATCATGTTTTTGATGATTAATCATGTTTTTGAAATTTATCGTATTAGATATCGCAATTTGACAAGGAAGTGAACGGACGTGCTTATTCTGCGTGGTTATTTTGAAATTTTTCACAGAAACTTTTTTTTTTTTTTTTTTTTGATTTAATTTTTTAATTTAATTTTATTTTAACCAATCTTTATAAATTAACGAAAGTCATGGATAAATTAACAAACGATGATCAAATTATTTCAATAAAGCTTGTTCGGAGTATATTAAACGAAATGTTTATTAAGCAACAAAATGATATTCTAAAACTAATAAGCGGAAATTTGAAATTAACAAACGACAGAATTGATGGTTTGCTGAAAGAAATAACTAATATAAAAGAGTTGTGTGCAAAAAGAAATAACTAATATAAAAGAGTTGTCTCCAAAAAGAAAACACATTAATTAAAGAGGAACAAAAAAACTACGTTAAAAGATTAAAAAAAAATGAAAATGTGCAAAAAGATATAGAAGATAGTCTAAACTTTACATTAGACATACAAGAAAAAAAAAATCTCGAATTAGAAAAAAAAATTATATCAAAATCAGCAAGCAGAGATACGGAAGATAATAAACTAAGGCAGCTTGAAGATAGACAAAGAAGGAATAATCTTAGAATAGAGGGATTATCGGAAAATGAAAAAGAAAATTGGGATGAAACCGAACTAAAGGTACTAAATATTTTTGAAGAAAAACTTAATTTAAAAGGAATTGTTATTTAACGGGCGCACAGGACAGGAAAAATTGAAGCAGGTAGACCAAGATCAATAGTAATGAAACTGTTAAATTGCAAAGACAAAGTTCAAGTTTTAAAAAGTGCGAGTAAACTAAAAGGATCGGGAATATATATCAACGAGGATTATTCTTTGGAAACTGCATCTATCAGGAAAAAACTATTCGAGCAAATGAAGATACATAGGAAAAATGGTATGTTTTCGGTTGTAATTTACGATAAATTAATAGTAAAAGAATTCAGGAAATTACCTTCAAACCTTTAATTATTTTATACTCTATATATTTTGTTAGTATAACCTTTCGTGTTGTTATGGAAGATATAAAATTTCATGATTAAAGCTTTAAGGCTTTCCAAACAAATAAAAATATACTTTTAGAGAATAATTCAGATCCAGATGTTAATTTTTTTAACACTGATGAAATCATTAAAAATATATGTCCTTCTTATTATAATTCTGATATTTCTAATGTTACTGCAAATTTGGATATTAATGCATTCTCTATTTTACACCTAAATATTAGGAGCTTTCGTAAAAATTTTGATAAATTTAAAGATTTTTTATTTGGTCTTGAAATTAATTTTAAAATTATTTGTCTCACAGAGACCTGGTGTCGAGATAAACAAATTGAAAAAGGTTCAAATTATCAACTAAAAAACTATATAGTTATTCATCAACTCAGAAACTCTGAGACAATAGGTGGAGGAGTATGTATTTTTATCCATAATTCTTTAAATTTTAAACCGCTAACCGAGTTTAGTGTAATTAGTAATGATTGTGAATCTTTAACGATCGAAATTTTAAATAAAGTCACAAAAAACGTCATTATACATGTCGTGTACAGACCGCCATCTCGCAATAATAAATTTTTTGAAAAACACTTTAAAAAACTAATTAAAAGCAAAGTTTTATGTGACAAACGTGTCTTCTTTGTGGGAGATTTTAATTTGAATGTGCTTGATTACGACACAAATAAAAATGTTAAAAATTTTATGAACATCATATTTCAAAATGGATTTATTCCAACTATAAATAAACCAACACGAATTACTAGAAATAGCGCAACTTCAATCGATCAAATAATAATTAATGAATATACAAAAAACAAAATAAAAACTGGAATAATAATATCCGATATATCGGATCATTTCCCAATATTTATAATTGCACATAAAAGTGTCGAACACACCCCTCACAAAAAAATATTAATTACAAATCGAGTATATAATGACATTTCTATGGAACTTTTTAATAATTCTTTATTTTCTGAAAACTGGGACGATATTTTACAAATTCAAACTGCAGAGACTGCTTATAACAGTTTTCTTCGGATATTCAAAGATCATTATGATAAAGCTTTCCCGGTGGTAACAAAAATTATTAAAACTAAAACATTTATAAACCCCTGGATTACACCAGGAATAATAAAATCGTCTAAAAAAAAACAACGTTTGTATGAAGTATTTCTGAAAAAAAGAACCTATGTAAATGAACTAAGGTATAAAAAATATAAAAGTCACTTTGAATCAATTATAAAACTTTCAAAAAAGTTATACTACTCAAATAAAATAATAAAATTCAAAGGTGATACTCAAAAAACGTGGCAAGTCATTAAGGAAGTAATTGGAAAAAAAACAATTATGTTAAATGGTCTTCCAAAAAAGCTCAATTACAATCATCAAGATATTACACAAGAATCTCTAATTGCTAAAACGTTTTATGACGTATTTGTCAACGCAGGTCTAAATTTAGCATCCAAACTAAAACACAGTGATTTTAACAAGGAGAAATACTTGACTCCTAGCAAATCAATAATGGAAAATGCGGAGTTAACCGAAAAAGAGTTATTAGATGCTGTTCTTTCATTAAAATTAAACAAATCACAAGGATTTGATAACATTAGCAGTAATGTCATAATTAAATGTATCTTCTATATTAAAAAAATCCTTTTGCATATATTTAATCTTTCGTCAAAGGTTTTCGTTAAAGGTCAATTCATTGCCCAATACAGAGGAGACTTAGTGCCAAAAAAAGAAATGAACAACAAAATACAACATTATGAAAAAATTATTGCTGGTAGTTATGTTTATGACTTTCTACACAATAATATTGAGTATAGGTAACTTTTAAAATTTTTACCAAACTAATTTTACTGTTTTACTAAAAAAAATTGATGTTTAATGTTTTATTGATTTTTTTAGTATTGATGCCACATTTCATTTTATTTATATTGGCCGTTATTTCAATGATTCAAAATTTTATCCAAATGCTATAATGAAAAAAGTTGTATTGAATAACACTCCATCTTTTTGCTTGTTTGCATTAAAGGATATAGAGCCAAATGAAGAAATACTATACTTCTACGGTGTTGACAATTTAATTTGGCATACTGAAGTAAATTTTTTCACATCAAATTTTAAAAATATATTAAATTATTTATTAACTTATACTTAAACCCTTACAGGAATTAAAAAGGAAAAATCAAAAAAAAAAACAAATCAAAGGTAAATCACTGATATGTATAATTAAAAAATATATTTATATATATGTAAATATAAACTGTCTGTTAAAAAAGAAAGTGTAACACTATCAATGCAAATTTTGTGCTAGAAATGTAATACTTCTGGTTAATTTTGTGATACTGATTCGGAAAACCATGTTGATTTTAATTAGATGTCCAGGGTTTTTTTTTCTATGCAATGCTATGCATGAATTAAACTAAACTTATATTTTAACTGTCAATGACAAACAAACCAGTGGTTTAGCAGTAGTGTACCTTCATGGTCGTTCAGTGGTACAAGACAAATTTTTTGAATCCCAAGTTTGTAAATATGTAAAGAATCTAAAGTTATTAAACATGATCTTCTTAATAGAGGGTTCCCACAGTCCTGGAAAGTCCTTGAAAGTCCTGCAATTTGACTAGTGTCCTGGAAAGTTTTAGAAATTTTCATTTTTTTATCATAAAATCCTGAAAAAGTCCTGGAATTTATAAAATATATTCTTAAAAAAACAATTTGTCTTATTTTTTAGTAACATTGGTTTTACGGTAAAAATTTTATACTAGGAGACTTTGAATGAGTTTTATTTTTGCCTAGTTTCGAATAAAAATTATTTAATTTTAATTTTTTTTTCAACTAAAATTGCTGAACTTGAGTTAAATTGTATTTGTTGTTTAAATCCTGGAACGTCCTTGAATTTTTTGTCAAACATCCTGGAAAAATTGGAAAATTGTCCTGGAAAGTCCTGGAATTTTGATTTTTTTTTTCTGTGGGAACCCCACAGAAAAAAAATATCAATGAAACATCCTATAAAAATCCTTTTCATAGGGGAACAGTAGATGCAAGTAGGACTCACACACATTTTTTTCATAAAACAATTCATTGATATTATTGAGTCCCAAATTTACATTATCATGTTATCTTTAACAATAAATAAAAAAATGCTTATTTATATATTATATTAAGGCTTGTTCTCCTACAATAAAAAACATTGCATCGTATGAAGCTGCAGAAGGTATTCTTTTTTTTTTTTTAAAAAAAAAAAGAAAGCTTTATAGAAAAAAAGATTCCAAAATCATACATTTTCTATACCATGGGAAAATATGTGTATTGAAATTGTTTTATAAATTTAGACATTGATTTTGGTGTGGAATGCACAATATCTAACTCGCCATTTCACAATTCAAGTTTAGAGGTTTGCATTAATTATGATTGAAATAAGAAAATAGTATACTATTTTTTTTTACAGTTTTAGAATTTTAAAATGCATATGTATATATATATATATATATATATATATATATATATATATATATATATATATATATATATATATATACACACGTTGTAAAACTTCAACTCTTTCGTAATGGCATTTATATAAAGAACCATCCAAACCACACAAGAGCGGAAAAATATTGTTGGCTTTTAATACAAAGTTTCCTCATGTCTCTTCTTTGTGAATAAAAATATCATATGATATGTAAATTTTGATATACATTGAATTAAGAGTTAGAGAACGATAAACAGTTTAATAGATAAATAGTTTATGAAAATACATTGTTCTAAATTAATTGTCTTACAACAGCCAGCAATAAAAAAAATCCTAATCGGACTGTTAGGTCGCAAAAAACTCTTGTAAAAAGCTGTTTAGAGGAGTCATGTTCACTTTAGGAGAGAAGCTCTCTATTTATACACTCATGCATTCCTGCCAAGGCCTGTTAATATGTATACATTTTTGCAATAAATAACTATAAAAATGTTATAAACTTATATTTTAAACTTAACTAATAATAAATTAAACAAATAAACTAATTTTTTTTTTTTTTTTAATAAAATATTATTTATAAACAAACACAAACATTTAGGTTCGAGTTTGTTCTTCTATAACAAAGGAAACTGAATTAGATGTCAATGAACTTCTAGGTATTGTTTAAAAATAAATAAAATCGAATGCTTGCAATGATTTGATATCATTAAAAGTACCTTTTTAAAAAGTTTTTACTAAAACTAGTTTTATAGTTTAATTTGATAATTTCACCAAGCGTTTTAAAACTAATTGTTATTTTGTTCAGAAAAAATATATATTCATTACTTCTATGGAGTAAATTTATTTTGAAAAGAATTTTTATTTTTATTTTATATTGGTCATTTTATATGTTTGACTTTGCAGAAAATAGTGAAAATCTTCTTTCTTCTATGTATATTAAACCTATTAGTATGACTTTTAAAGATTCAGATTATGAAGAAAAAAAATTTCCATAACCAATTCACCAAGTCCTGAGGTATGTTTTAACTTAATAAATTGGAAAATATTAAAATGCAGAGTTAAATATAATAAAGGAATTCTAACAAATTTAAAATTTTAAAATCACTCACCTTATTGTTTAAAACAGTAAGTAAAAATTGTAATAGATATTTTGAAGTTGTTGTGAGGTACCGTAAGCATTTTAAAAAGAAAATAATCAAGCATGCGATTGGAAAACCCTATTTTAAAAACAGCATAAGCTAAAAAGAAAACAAGAATAAAGCAGCAAAAATTCAAATGCAACTCCATAGAATGTTAACTCAAGATTTAAAAGTGGTTTTTTAAGTACTCAGATGGCACCATTGATCACCATTTAAAAAGACTTTATCATATGTTTCATATTGTGTTATACATATCTTTTCATCATAGTTTATACATATTTATATTTTATATTAAGGCTTATTCTCCTACAATAAAAAACATTGCATCAGATAATAAAGCTGTAGAAGGTATACTTTTTTTAAAATGAAACTTTTAAAGAAAACATGATAACAAGAACACCCATTTACTATATAATAGAAAAATATTGTATTTCAAATTTTTTTTATAGATTTAAACATTGATTTTGGTGTGGAAAATGCAATATCTAACTCGCCATTTCACAATTCAAGTTTAGAGGTTTGTGCTTAATATGATTGAAATATAAAAATAGTGTAATATTTTGAAATTTTTTTCAAAACTAAGATGATTTTTAAGTCTATAAGTTATTATTAGGCGCAATCTACAGACTTGATAAGTTATTCAAGTGCGATTAATTAATAAGAGTATATTTTCACGACATCATTGAAATCTATTGAAATAAAATCTACAGATTTTTTTTTTACTTCCTACTTATAAAATAAAATTGTTCACTTATTTTATTTTATAGTTTTTACATTAAAAAAACAACAACCGAACAAAGATAACTTAACTCATCTTAAAAAACTGAAAATAAGTCTTTTTTAAAAAGACATTAAATTATTACCTTTTTATATTATTATACAGCCAGGTTTTTATTGTAGATATTAAAACGTTGTAATAATTTATATTTTATAATTACAAGTCAAGTCAGGTTATTTTTACATCAAGTCAAATTATTCTGCTACTGGTAAAATGTAATCCAGTACAACCTGCTTTATGTTAACATCAGGAAAGTGTAAAACATTTCTTCAACTCTTTTATAATGGTATTTATATGTCATTAATGAAGAACCATCCAAACCACAAAAATCAGGAAAAATTGATGTGAAACTTACAAATAAAAGTAATAATAATAATTTTAATATTTAATTATTTTTTAAATTGATTATATATATATATATATATATTCTATTAAAATTTTTCAAAACACATTGGCTTTGAAAACTCCTTTTAAATTTAAGTTAAAATATTAATTGCTCAACAGTTGAAACCAATGACTTAAAAGTGAAACATGGCGAAAAAATGTTTTACATAACTTAAAGTTTTAAATAGTGTGTTAATTAAAGTCATTGTTGTTTATAAAATTAATAATAGAAAAATACAATTTACTGATAGTAGGTAAAAAAAAAAAAAAAAAAAATTAAATGAATAAACTTGTATGTTAATTAAACATAGAATAGATAGCTAGAATAAATTATCAAGTTTGAAGATTGCGTCGGTCAAAACTCAAATTTGTTTGATCGTTGGCTTTTTGTGTGGAAAAAACAACTCCTTCCCCTGTCTCTTCTTTTTTAAAGATAGATTACAATAGAAAGTTTTATGGTGATAATGAGTTATATAAAGACTTAAAAATAATGAAATGAGCTTTAATTTAAAGTTAAAAAAAGTTATATTATAAAAAATAAAAATGCTTTACACTAAAAAAAATTTCAACATCATTAAAAATTTATAGCATAACATAGTGTAAACTAATTGGTGTTAGGGATTATTTATAAAGTACATAAGGTACTAATAATCTTTTAATTTTAAGTAAAAGTTAAATTTTGCATGTCATATTTTATAAATTAGCATTACATTTGCATAATAAAAAGAACTGCATTGAAGTTGCAAAGAACTGCGAAGAATTGAACTGCAAAACTAAACAATTCATGACATTATAAATACTTTATTAAAATACAAAGAACTAAACAATTCATAAACAAGTTATCTAATATATATTAAAAAAAAAAAAAAATTATTTAAAATAAATATAAAATAAGTTTTACACTTATTCAATAATTTTCAAAACAAAAATATCTTTAACATCTTGCTAACATTTAAAAAAAAGTTAAACAAAAAAAAATCACAATAAGTAATTTAAGTATTAAAAAAAATTGCTTCAAACAATAAAAATTAAATACCAGTCCTAGTGAGCGCTTAAAAGACATGGTTAATTACACAAAAAATAATATACAAAATTTAAGAAAACTCAAAGAAAGAAAAGTAATTTCTTTCAATAACGTTGTTTAAAAAGTGTAAAGATCTCTTATAAGTTTCAACTCCATGATTACATAGCATTTAAATAATCAGGTGTTTTAAATTTACAAATAAATAGTTCTAAAGTGAAATATTTTATTTTTAAAAATTATTTAATTTAACAAGCAATATTTATTTAATACTTAAAAAAACCCATCGCCATTTCTTTAATTAGAAAATTTCAAGATTTAAACTTCTTTCAGACAATTGCAATTGGTGACTGCTTAAATCAACCTCTGTTAAAAATATATTAATATATCACACTATATTCATTTAAATAAAATAAATGAACTTAGGCTTATGTTTATCTAGGTACATGCTTGTTCTTCTATAGAAAAAGACACAGATTTGGACGAAGAGGAAACAAATTCAAAAGGTATTGCTTGAATATAATTAAATAAACCTAACCATTTAGATTAAAATAACGAATAACAATTTTTTATATAGAATAGATATCTGAACTTTTTAAAATTTTGAAATCCTTATATAATTAGGCTTTTTTGGATTAAATTTTTTTTATTTTTTCTTGGTGCAAAAAATTGTATAATTTTAAAATAAATTTATAATTAATAAATTTAAAAATAAGTATAATTTGACACCATGTCGATCATATCCTGATAATATTTTTAAAAAGTTTTTAATTTAGATTTTGATAAGAAGGAAATTCACCCAGAGAAATTAGTTCATTTGTCAAAAATGAGTAACACCAAGGTTTTTTGATATTATAAATTTTATAATGATTTATAAATAAAAAGGGCTATTTGCGAGCAAAAAATTTTTTGTTTGAGTATATTTAAAGATATTTTTGAGCGGAATTTTAATGAAGTAATTTACGATTATTTTAACTTTTAATAAAGTATTTTAAAAACCGCACGCAGTTGAAATAAAAGTTTGAATTTAAAAAAATTAAATATGCTCATTATTTACAAGTAGAAAAAATTCAAAAATTAAAAAAAAAGTTTAAATCTTTTAAGCTAACATTTAATTAAAATTATTCAGCAATAGCAAAGTTGTCGATAAAATTGAACAAAAATACTTTCTTTCAGTTTTAGATTTTAAACTTAAATAGTTATTTTACGGGGGTAGGTTAGGTTTTAAAATTATTCCATAGATTTAAAAATATTTATTAACTGTTAGACGTATTTAAAGTATTTAAGAGTAATTTCGAAGAAACATTTTAAAAATTGGTGAGGGCAAATAAAAAAATAAAAAAGGGTTAATATTAAAACGTATTCTACTTGATTCAATAAAAAAGTACAGTTATTAAAATTTTTGTAAAAAGTAACTCAAAAAAATTACTTAAATAATAACGATCGCTTTTATGGTAAAAGTTACCGAAACTCAACGTAGCGAGCTCAAGAACAGCTGCTGAAAAATAGAACGTCAATTGTTTTTCGAATAATTTTTAAGAATAATTTTTAAGAATAATTTTTTCGCTGAAATATTTCTTTTATACCTATAAGATTTTTATTCTAACATTTTATTTTATTTTACTAGAAATACAATTCCTTGTTAACATTAAAAATTATTCAAAACGTTCGTTTAAGTTTTTTGTTAATACGAGTGATTGTGCTTATCAACCGCTTTTTGAAAATAAATAAAAATAAATAAATAAATATTATATAAAATCGCTTGTAAAAATATTAGCTATTGCACAGTTTTTAATCGTACAATATTAAAATTTCCAGTTTATTACTCGCTGACTTTTTAAAAAGAAAAAAATAATTATTTGAAAAACTTTAAATTACATATTAAAAAAAAAAAAAAAAATCAAATATTAGCATATTTTATAATCTTTTTTAAATTTAAGTTAAAATGTTTTTTATTCGTTTAGTATAGACAAAACGTGACAAACGTCGAGAAAATAAACAAATGTTTTTACATTTTAAAAAACGAAACATTCCAAATCATTTTTAAATAATAACATTTCTACATAAACGATTTAAAGTAGTTTTGCGGTAATTAAGTAAATTGGTGCAGTTAATGTCGATAAATAAGAAAAGCAAATAAAAAGAATTTAATGACGTCAAAAATCACGTCGTGTTTATGCTTCGCGCAGTTCTTATTCATCGCAAGGCCTGTATATTGTGTTCATATATAACGTAAAAACAAAAATTTTGAACCATATATTTTTGTTTAATCTTAAATAATAAAACTTATTTGTTATTAATTGACAGTTTACCAAAATCATTCGAACCTTATTTCAAAGCTAACTACCAAGTTGTATTCCAAATAAAATTAATAATGCAACTTAAACACAAATGATAATGAAAAACTAGTGTTAATATAATTAAAACAACTTAATATAATTAAAGCAACTTAAACACTAATGATAATGAAAAACTAGTGTTAATATAATTAAAGCAACTTAATATAATTAAAGCAACTTAAACACTATATGGTAATGAAAAACTAGTGAGCCAGTGTTGATGGGACCAAGAAAAAACTTTAAAAAATTTCAGAGCTTTAACTAGTTTGTGAAGTAATGAAATATTCCGCTACAAAAAAGTGGGTAATGGGTCTCTTTATCCATATATGGAAATCAATGTAAATGCAAATCAAAATCCTTATGTTTTCTAAAAGATAAATAAATCAAGGTCATATAGGTTTTTTGAGCATTAAAATCAGGTATATAAAAAATTGCCTGAATTTATTTAAATTGATAAATAAAGTCACTTAAAAATAATTTTTTACATTTCTGGTCATTTCATTAGATTTATCACTCCTAAAAATACCCAGTTAAAAATCTTTAAGTAAAAAGATCAAATATTATTAATGTCTCTGAATTAATGTTGTAATTATGAGAGGACAAGTGGGGCCCAGTCAATATCTACTAAAAATAAAATGATCATATTTCCTGATCTTCTTTTAGCTAGAGGCTATAACTATCAAGGAATTCTTATTTTACTGAGTAGTCCTTTGACACAGAATTACTCCACAACTGTCTATATAAAATTTAAAAAGTCGAAAAAAATAAATAAATTTCTATTTATCTAATTATTTTATTTATTGCAAATTGCTTAAGGTCAAGTCAATGAAAAAAAAAACCAGGCAGAATTTGTATATTTTGCAACAAAATTCAATCGAGATTAACAAGACATATAACTTTAAAACATAAAGATATAGAAACTGTTAAATCAGCTTTGAATCTTCCAGACAGAGAAAAACTAAAAATGTTTGATAAATTTAAAAAAGAAGGAATAAAAAAATATAACATTGATCAAACAAAAGAACTAAATCCTAACTTTCAAAGGTAATAATTTTTTATTTCATAGAAAATTGAAAAAAATTCTTTTCTCAATTGAAAACATTCTTATATATTTTTAAGTTTGTTTTGTTTTTTATTAATACTCTTATGAAATCTTTTATTGAAATATATATATATATATATATGAAATCTTTCATCATAACTTATAATAAATCTGTTTAAGCGGTTCTCAATGACAAGATCTTATGATCTTCTGCGAGTATCTGCTTTCTTATTGAAACAAAATTTGTAACTCTTACATTATTTGAATAAAATAAAAATAATGTTTTTTTTTTTTTAATTTTTTGCATTTTTGCATCTCCTTTATTTTTAGTTACTAAATAGACAAAATTTTAACATGTTATAATATCTTTTGCTAATTAATCAATTTAGAAAGAGAAAGGCAAACAAGACTTGTAAAGACACAGCAGAAAATCTTGAGATGTGTGGACATTGCAATGGCTTTTTTTTGAAACGCTTTTTAAGTAGACACAGTAAAAATTGTGACCTAAATAATTTAAAATCAACCATTCATATTCCACTTAGCTTGATAAAAGACAATTTTCTTTCATCATTTCCAAACGAATTTGTTACAAATGTTCTTGAAAATATGAGAAATGATGATGTTGGTAAAATTTGCAAACAAGACGATATCATTTTAACTGTTGGTCTTCGTTTATATGACAAAATGAAAAGAAAATGCGATAAAGCTTCAGAAGTTCTTAAATCTGTCCGAAACGACATGAGAAGACTTGGAAATCTTTATTCGATTTTCAGAAGGAATGAAAAAGTCCATAAAAAATATAGTAACTCTATGGACATGTTTAATCGAATTAATTTTGATGTTTTAAGAAATGGGATTGATGAATATACTAAATCAGAAAACTGTTTAAAATCAGGATTGAAAATTGTTCTCTCCTCATTAATAAAAAAAGCAGCAAAGATTATAAAGGGAACAATACTTACACAAAATGATAAAAATCTAACCTATGAGGAAAATAATAAATTAGTTTTAGAAAAAGTGCAAGATATTGATTTGTTTGTATCTGTTTTTGAAACTTGGAAAGGGTATATATTTGGTGATACTGAGTATGACATAAACAAAAAGCGTCACCAAAAACTTAGGAGACCAACTAATTTGCCAGAAGAAAAAGATGTCCAAGTTCTTCAAAATTATATTCTTCAGCGAATAGAAAGTATAATGAATGACAGGTTTATTTTTTGGGACAGCCATACATTTATCGAACTTCGCGACATGGTTTGCACTCGTCTTACTTTGCTAAATGCCAGACGTGGTGGGGAACCAGCTAGGTATATATATATATATATATATATATATATATATATATATATATATATATATATATATATATATATATATATATATATATATATATATATATATATATAAAAAAATATATATATATATTAATTATATTGATTATTGTTATTTAAAAAGGTTATTATTAGGTTTGCCTTTAACGAATTACTATTATAAGTCTTGAATCAGGCTTGGCAAAGAATGCCTGAGAAAACAAGCCTTTTTATAACCATGCAAATAATATTTTGTTTTAAATATTTAACCAGGGTCTTTAAAATTTTAAAAATGCGCTAAAATAAAAAATGGTTTTATTTCAACAACTTCGACACCTTTATTTTTACTAACATTTTTATATTAGCAAAATGTTTTAATGATTTTAACTAATGATTTCAATTAAAGTAAATCTAATTTAAGAAAAATAATTTAAATTTTATAAGCGACAACTTTAAATAACGATTGTCTCTTTAATAAACTTTATACAAGTATCATTAAAATTAATGCACTTAAAGAGAAGAAAGATTTTGTTGAGAAGAAAAAAGAGAAAAACTTTTTTGAAAGCCGTTTGAATTAAATAACTTTGATCTTTAATAATGTTTTTATATTATTAAAAAACATTCAAATAAAGTAACAAATCACTGCTAATAATTTTTTTATATTTATATAAGTAAATCTTTTATATTATATATGTCTTTAAATAAGAAAATAATATCAACTTTTTTATAGAAATGATTTAATTAATTCTTCTTTTGTTTACATTACTGCAAAGAATTGTTAAGAATCTTTTTTTTATTTTTTAAATGTGCATAATATTTATTAAACAATTGATGTAAGTTGTTACTTTATTTAAAAGAGTTTTACATAATATTATACTATAAAAACATTAGTAAATAAAAACAATTCTTAGTTATTTATTCCAAACATTACTTAAATAATCTTATCCTTATAGTTTACAATTTATTTTAGTAAGTTTTAATTTAATTTTTTTGATTTTAGTTTTAGTTAAGTTTTTTTTATTTACTTTTAGTTATTTTTTTTTACAAAGATTTATTTGCTTTTTTTTGGATAAGTATTTTTTCAAGTTTCTTTATAATAAAGTTTAAAATTTTTAATTTTAATTCTAATTTTTGATTTAAACTTTTTCAGCGCATTTCTAAAATGTATACAAATTTTAAAACATCTGTATACAAATTTTAAATGTACATAAATTTTAAAACAATATATAACAACAGCCATGGTCAAGTTTTCAAAATTAAATAATATTTGTGTGGTTATATTATGGCACACCTGTGTGTGCAAGGTGTGCGATTTATATAACCTGTGGTTATATAAATCGCACACCTTCCTGGCCAAGTCTATTGAATAAATTTTTTATTATGACTAAAATAAAAATAATTTCAGGGATTAAACATAATTTTGACTTGAAGAAATTTTGACTTGAAGAAAACCTTTATAGGCTTCTTTAAAAAAAGATTTATAAATTTTCACAAATAAGATCACAGATAAAATCATTTTGTATTTTGCAAAAAAATATTTTTTTTGAAAAAGTTTTAAACAATTTTTATTTTGCTTCTTTCCTAATTTTTTTAGGTTGAAATTATATTCAGAAGATAAATTTATTAACATAATGTTTAAGCCACTACTGTGCATATTTAAACTGATTTTAAATTGTATCAAGAAATCCCTAGTGATACTCATGAACTTCTTTACAAATAACACTAATAATTAAACAAAATTTCAAACACTATTCAATTCGCATTTATATGGTTTTTTAATAAATTTAATATATAAGAATTCTCTGACATTTTTATAAAATTTGATAAGTACTCTAACTTTTTAGTTATATATAATGACAAAATTTAGAATTATATTTAGCACCCTTATATTTCTAGCAGAAATATAAGGGTGCTTAAAGAAAAATAACGCCAAATTCCTAATGGGTTTAAAATTCCAAAAATTTAGTGATAAAAAAACCATATTGGTCAGAAACTGTCAAGGTTACTGACCACTATGAATAAATATTAATTTTATTTTATAAGACAAAAATATTAATAAGGTTTATTACTTTTTTGGTACTTTAAAAATGGGTTAACTTCTAAAATTCTATTCAAAAAACATCGGCTTTAATTGACATTTGATTAAGATCATTCACTATAATACTTGATTACCAGGAATATAAAAATTCTTTCTTATTAAAATCTTTCAAGTAGTTTTATAGAGTATTTAAATAATGTTATATTTATAATACATAAAAAAAAATTTTTTTTTTACGTGTTATATATAAATGTTTAAAGTGAAATTGCAATCTTTTTTCAAAAATAAATAACTTCAGAATAAAAATTCCTTTTTTTTTTTTGGGCAAACCAACTTGAAAAAGTTATTAAAAATAACTTTCATTTAATAAATATTTTTACATTATTTTAAAATATCAAAACATTTTTCAAGAGGATTCAGAAATAGTTTACTGAAACTGAAACAATATTACTAGGTTGCTGTTAAATGACTGGAAGGATGCCGAAGATGGTGCTTGAATTAAACCACAACATATCAAAGAGCTAAATCAACTTGATAAAAAATTAGCCAACTCAATACAAGTTGCATATATGACTGGGAAGGTTGATAATTTGTATATTTAAGTTATATTATAAGTTCAGTTTAATAAGTTATGAGATATTAAATAAATAAAAAACATTTTAATAATATAAATATATTTATAAAATTTTTAATTTAATAAATTTAGAAACAAAACCCCTTAACAAAGGATCTAAAACAAATAATATAAAAATAATGTTTTTATGTTTTTCTATTAGTACTAATGCCAATAGTAGTTATAACTTCAAAGAATGTTAATATAATGTAAACAGTGACAGTGAAATTTTAAAACTTAAGTTAATAAAACCTAAAATCATGCAATAACGTTAAAACTAAGTTAACTAATTTAAAAAGTTCTTTTTTGTGTAATTTTTATTGAACTTTATTTTAATTTTTTTCTTGCCTTTTATTTATCTTATTCTTTAGGGAAACAACCATTTAGTACCAGTATTAATTCCATTAGATTCCTTTGCAGTCCTTAGAAAATTAGCTGATTTAAAGATTAGGAAAGAAGCTGGTATTTTGGAAAATAATCCATATCTTTTCCCCAGCACAAAAAATAGTACCAATCATGTTTCAGGTTGGCATGCACTGCATGCCATATGCATGAAAATAAAAAACACTTTAATAAAACCAAATAAACTTACTGCAACATCTAATCGTCGCAGAGTAAGCACTCTATTTGCAATGTTGAATTTACCACCACAAGAATAAGAGATTTTTTACCAACATATGGGACATAGCCAAGCCATTAACCAAAATTTGTATCAAGCTCCACCAGCATTACTAGAAATACTAAAAGTTGGTAGACATTTAATGGATCTTGAAAATGGTAAGAACATTTTTTTTTTGATACAGTTCTAAAAAAATAAAATTCTTAAAACAATTTTGCTATAACTCTTATTTTAGTAGATTTCAAAGAAACTTTATTTTTCATTTTTATTTTAAAGGGATACAAAAGAATGCTATCAATACTGTACCTCAGACATCTACCAGTGGTTTATATTTAATTTTTTTTAATTTTTAGTTTTTATATCTTACTTGTGTACTTGTTTTATCGAATAAAAAATATAAGATTTAAAAATAGACTGGATGGAACACATTGAAGATTCAAGTGATGGCAAAAATTATGACAATGATTGGGTGAGTAAGTATACAGTAAGCAGTAAGTATGAGACCAATTACGTGTAGTTCATCCTGAATTTGAGAAACATAGTGAGCACCCACTTTTGCATAGTGAAATTATAAATATTTTGCTATCTAGACCGTTTTTGATAGCATCGACTGTATTTAGGCGCCGTCCAAAATTAAATTTTAGGACTTTTTTTATTTTATGTTTTTTTACAGCAAAAATTGCTTCTTGTCATAAAAAAATATAACAAAAACTAAAATATCTTGTATACTAATGTGATCATATGTGCTCACCATTAAATCAATAAAGCTTATTTAAATGCTTAGTCAACAAAAAATTTGTTGCCAACGCAGACAGAAAGTAGTTCTTGCCCACACTCCCCTAAAAAGGTTTACGGGAGTAATTTACAGCTCTTGCAATAGTATTTTTTTCTCTTAAAGTATAATTATCATTGTAACTAAAATGAAAATGCAAATTTTATGTCTGAAGAATTTTTTCATGATGCAATAAATGACACTTGTTATGTGTATATTAATGCAACATTAACGTTACAAACATATGCTTGTAACAAGTATAAAACCATTTTGTATTTAATAAGCAAATATTATATAAATAAAAAATAGGTTGTGCAAAAATTAAAAGCTCTCGTAAAAAGTAGTTTAGAGGAGCAGCTCGCATGGCTCGCCATGTTCATTTTAGGAGATCTTTTCTCTGCTCTCGCGCTCATTTACTACCCCCGAGGCCTGCTAACTTATATATGACAAAATTACATATATCTTAATTTTAAGTACTAAAAGTTAATTTAAAGTTAATTGGCATAAAATGGTGAAAGCACCTTATTCCTGGCAAAGTTCTTCTATAGCTAATTGTATTTCTTTATGTTCTCATATTGGTATTCCTAATTATTTGTATTTTCATAGTTTTCCTTAGTTGTAACGATGGTTGAAGTCCAATTATTTCTGTTTTATTAACTATTATAATATGAGTGTTTTTTTTTATTTTGGTAAATCAAAAATTGTAAAAATTTCAAAATTAAATAAAAGGATTTATACCTTTTATTTAATTTTGAAAATTAAATAAAAGGTATATATAATATTGATATATTATCTCAAAAACTTTTTTGATTTTTCAAATTTTCAAAAAGTTTTATAAAATTTTTCCAAAACTATAACATAAGTATAATAACAAGCCATTTTTTATGTTTTTTCTGCTGATTTTTTATGGATTTAATATTACAATTTTCAAAACAGTAACCACAAGAGTTTATATATAAAATTACCTTTTATTTTAAAAATTCTGATTAGTACCACCTAAGATTTGCTTTAAATTTTGATCAACTGCATATCTTGTGTAAAAATTAAACCCTGAATATTTCAAATAATCTGAACAATTTATTGATAGGTAATGAAAAAATCAATATAAACCAACTTCATTGAAATGTGGAGTTTAAATTTAAAATTGCTTGAAATTTATAATAAAAACAAAGATACTCATCCAAAATTAATGCATAGCATTTATTTAAATAAACTAAATTTTATTTGGACTAATTGTAAACCATCAAGTTTTAACCAATTTATGACCTATTGTCTAAGTACTCTATCTATTTAGCATTGAAGATCTTGTGACTGTTATTGGTAATAATAACACAAGTTTTTTATCTCTTATTTGTGTAATTTACACAAATGACAGAGATTAGGAATAATAAGTATATCTGACTGGGTGAATTAGGGAATATAATTGTTAGGGAAGAAGGTTGCTTAGACATGTTGAGCATGAAAACGCAGATAATTGGGATTCATGTGGAGAGCTAGAGGTTTCAGTGTTTGCCAATAAATACAATTTTAAAGGTAGATTATAGTGATGTCTATTGGTTAATAGTAATATAACTTGAGAAATCTGTTAAGATTTTTATTTTTGTAATACTCTCATGTACACAAAAAAAAAAAAAAAAAAGATAATTTTTATACAAATGGTATAATAAAATCATCAATATTTAATATTTACATATAATACAAATTAAAATTAAAGACACTACAATATAATAGTATTAATAGACTGAATAATACAAAATAAATTAAAGACATTATTATTATAAATATGAACTGAATTAAATGATGGATTATATATTTTTAACTGGTATATATAACTATATATAACTTAATTTCAGACAATTTAAATTTGTTTTTTTTTTTTAATTTGGTTATTATTGATTCATAACTTTTGAATAAATTGATTTTATTGATCTAGTATTTTAGGGTTGAGTTTTCTACATAAAATCTGTTGATTGTCAAAATTTGAAGCACATCTGAGGTGTGCTACAAATTTTGACCAATGTATGCATGATTGAATGACTAATATTTAACTTTTTTTTAAGGTAAACAAATGAATGCTATCAATACAGTGCCTCAACCATCAACCAGTGGTTTAAATTTATTTTTATTAAATTTATTTTGTTTTATTTCTGTACTTGTTTTATGAAATAAAAATAATATTTTAAAACAGACTGGAAGGATCACACTGATGACTCAAGTGATGATGGAGATGATTGTGACAATGATTGGATGCTTGATACAGTAAGCAGTAAGTACAATCCCAATTATGTGCATTTTACTTTTTTTATGATTATAGTGGGTAATAAGTATTTTGCTATTGTAGGGAAAAAAAATAATAAAAGAGTCAATCTAAATGAACAAAATGAAACTGGTAAGTAAATTAATAAATATTAACATTGATATAGAATGATTTAGTATAACTACAAATAAAAATCTTTGATAAAATTTTTCCTTGTAATAAGATTTAAAAAATTAATAAAATTAAAAATTTTTTTTTTTGAACCATTAAAACTTTCTGACTTTTCCTTGACTTTTGTAAAATTTAATAAACTCCTCAACTTTTCCCTGACTTTTTTGATTAAATTTCCTAGACACTTCCAAGTTTTCCATGTTGCTAGCCACCCTGTTACATTATTTATAGTGTATTTATATTTGTTGTGTCATTATTCAATTTATTTCTTTCGCTAATTTTAATTATTCTATTAATAACAGGTTTGTATAAAAAAAGAAAAAAAACAGAGCTCCTACACAATTAAATAGCTGAAAACAAAACTGGTATAATATCTGCTTTAATATATGATATAGATGACAAATATAAACTATATTATACTTTTAAACTTAAATTTTATCATAATTTTATTATATGGTATTTGTTAATTAATAGATAAAAATTATATTATAGGGCGTTCATACTTATAATGGAGCAAAGAACAAATAAAACATTTTTACAGTGTTTTTGGCTCATTTATTACTGGAGCAAACCAGGAGTATTTTCCGGGTAAGTTTAAAATGCTTTGTTAAAATTTTGAGTTTTTTATATTAAAGGGGTTATTTTGGTTAAAATAGTTGTACCATTTCAATGAAAATATATTCAAAACATTCCCAGTAATAAAAAACACACAACAAATTTAATTATAAAATTGTTAACAAACTTTAAAATTTTCATTTTAAAGCATTAAAGCAAATAAAAGAATTCAGTGAGCACTATAAAATTGATCTTCACAAAGTAAGAACAAAAATCAATAATGAGCGCAAAAAAATGATTAACTTACAGAAAAAAAGAATAAAAGAAATGAATATTTCAAACATATAAAAGTAAGTTTTATTTGTAAAAAAGTTTTCTTATAAAAAAGATTTTAACTTGTTTTGAAGTAATTAAAGAGTTTTTATACATTTTTTTTTTAGTTTTATTTGTCATTATTTGTCAAAGAAGAACTTTTTACATGAAGAGACACGAAACAAAAAAAATTTCACAAAAGAACTCTTTATTTTTTTTATGTTTAACTCATACTTTATATATATAACTGTTACAAAGATTTTGAAATATCTGCTTTTGATTTTTTTAAACCATTTTTTTTGCTTGGTAATCAAAATAAAATTTTGGTCACCATGTAAAAAATTTTTTTTTTTAAACTAAACCAAAAATAGGCAACTTAATCAAAACTTATTGAAAGCATAATAGTTAAATATTACAGAATGTCACTTTCATCTTTTTAATCCTTAAGGTTGCATTAACATCATCTCTGATATACAAAAATTTTAAAATTAATAATTTTTAAAACATTAAAAAAAAAACAAAAAAATATAAAAAAACATTGAATAAATCCACATTCAATGATCTTTTTAAAAACGTGAAAAAACACATTTTTTGCTGATAACTTATTCTGGAGATAAGTTACCACAACATAAAAATCCTGCAAAAAAAATCTTGTATAAAAAATTTGGAGCTTTATTTTGTTTTTATTAATACTAATTTATTTGAAAGACCTATGATAACAATAACAAACACTAATAATTAAAAAATTTACATAAATTTTTTAGAACTCAAACTTATACTGAAACAGTAACAAGCTTATATTAAATATATATTTTTTAAATATATTTTGATGTTTATATAAAAATAAAATAATAAAATTACAATGAAACTTTTACATTACACAAAGAATATATATAAAACAGACAGGGGATGACTGGTGTAACCACAATCTTTTCATAGAGCCTCTTCACAATATCATTTAAAGCCCACATTGCTTTAGAAAATTTACAATAAATATTTTATCTGTTAAATACTCTGTGAAGAATAAAGAAAAGCTCATATATACATCTATACTTATATATACATATACCCATAAAAACACACACATATACAAACATACTTTCATATATGTCAGAAATTAAAGAGATGCAGTTTCATTTGTTGTTTAAAAGAAAAAGTGCTTTTCAAATTTTTTATATTGTTATTTTTTAATTGATTCCATAATGACGGTTAGTGCTATTTAATGTCGTTCATTCTAACATTTCCGATTTTGAAGAAATCGCAGACCTAGAACTGTTTTTTGGAATGTTATACGCATGCGTTACTTTCATGTTATTTCAAACAACATTAAAGTTTTGAAACCTCGTGGCGCACGTAATAAATATAAAGTATTTCTAATTATTAACTATTCTTTATTGTTTATTATTATAATGTATGTAATTTTTCTTAATTCGTTTTAGAGATGTAAATTTTTATTAAATTTAAAGTTATTAAATAAGTAATATTTTATATTTATTTTCTTGTAGTTCAACTTATTTTCAATACATTTTCCTAATTCGGGTATTTATTCTTGACTGTGAAATGAATGAAGATAGTTGTTCACTTGAATTAGAACTTTCACAAGGTAAGACTCTTAAGTAAGGTTGAGGAATCTTGTAATGAGAGTGCTGATTAAAAAATGTGTATTTAACTTTTTTAAGAAACAATGATGGCAGTTGACTCTACTCTTTCTGTTGAAAAGCATTTTTTTGCCACATATGCCGATGTTTGTGCAAAAATTAAAGAGCATGAAATGTTGCACACATTGCATTATGTTGTAACTTGCTCAGGAACTATGGAAAATAACTTTGAAGGTAGGCAAATTAATTTAAGGAGCTAAACTGTGCTAAAACATAAATTACAAATGTTAAACTTCTTCCATTTATATTTGCTTGAAAAGTTGTAATGAGTTATATTTTTATTATTATGTAGAATTATTAAAAAAAAAAACATAAAGTGTTTTACGAGGACAAGGAATTTCCATACACTGGAGTACCATTTATTGTATCAGCTCTAACAAAACTTGACTGTCAACATGGAAAAGACAGAAATATTAAAGCAAAAGCTCAATACAGACAAATGAGAAATAAAAAAGCTGTATGTACAAAAAAAATTTCAATTTAGTTCAAAGTATAAATAAGTTTTAATAGAATAATTTAAAGAAATCTTGTTTTGGATTTATTAATATTGTTTTATATTGCGATTTTTAACATCTGTTTTGTCAGTTAGTTAATAAACAATGTGAATTTTATTTAATTTTTTTTTTCTTAATGCATAGAGTATCGATCATTACTGTCAAAAAAGTAGAGTTGTTCTTCAGGATACTAAAAAGTTTGATTGTCCTGCCAATGTGTATATAAAAGAAATAGTAGAGTTTCCAGAGTTTAAGGTATTGGTACTTATTAGTGTGACACGCTATAATCCTTATGTTCATAAACACATACTCTGATCTTAAACAGTTTAATAACCATTTTCTAGTATGAAAACCTTATAGCAAATTATTTCTAATTTTATAGCTTTTAAGAAATTCTTTACGGTTAAGAAATGAAACATCTAAAAAACTCCGTGTATCCTTAGCTAAGTCAGAAAATGTACATAAGTCCAGAAAGTATATTTTATTATTGCCTGATATTTCTGTTCATAGGAACCATCCAGTTGGTGAGGTCAGTGATGTAATTTTGTTAATATATCTAATAATTTTATTTAAGTTGTTTTTGCTTTTTTGATTTTGTTTTTAATTTTTTTTCATTACTACAATATCTTTTTTTGTTGTTGTAGACTGCAGGAATCAATCAATTTATTTCTGATGATCTCATAGTAAAAATTGGTGACCTGGTAAAAAAGGGTGTCAATACTATTTCTGAAATGAGGCGACATCTAGAGTTTTTTGTTCATGGAGAAATTACTTCTGACAAACCACAAAAGACAAACAAACGTTTCTTTCCAATGGATAAGACAATTCGAAATCATATGCTCAATGCAAGAAGAAAACTTTGTAGATCTATGATCAAGAATGTTTGCTTGAAAAAATTAGTGAATGGAAAATAGTCTTTCATGAGGCAATGATAAAATTTAGACCAAAAGGTGTCAACATCATTGATAATATTGATTCAAAGCTTAAGGATTCATTATTGTTCGTATATCAAGACATGTGGCAGAAAAGATTACTCTTACGGTATGGACCTGAACTAGTTTTTCTTGATGCAACATATCGCACAACTAGATACGCTCTTCCACTATTCTTTTTGGTTGTTAAAACTAATATTGATTACCAGGTTGTTGCCATTTTTGTGTGTGAGAATGAGACCACAGACGCCATCACAGAAGCATTAATGTGCATTAAGGAATGGAACCCTAAATTTCAACCAAAATATTTCTTAACTGATTATTCAAATGAAGAAATAAACTCATTAGAATCAGTGTTTCCAGGTTAACGTTGTTATTCATTTATTGTGTTTTATTTAATATTTTATTGTTATATGATCATTTAAACCAAATCCAACTTGCTGTTTTTAGGGTGTTCTGTTTTAATTTGTGACTTTCATCGAGAGCAATCTTGCAAAAGATGGCTTTCTAAAACTGCTAATGGTTGTTATATGGTAAAAGATGCAATTAAGTTAAAACTACATTAAATTGCTCATGCTAAAACAGAAGAAATTTGCCAAAAAGCTGTTAATTCATTAAAAGAATCAGAAGAGTGGAAAAATAACCCAAAACTAGCTGATTACTTAAATAGCACTTGGTTATGTAATCAAAAGGTTGATTTAATTTCATTTAAATATAACAAAATTGAAATATTTTCATTTTCGTTTATCATTAAGGGGGTTCTTATTAAGATAATTTTGCATACTATTTACTCCGGGTTGCCAAATTGGCCTCTTCATAACCATAAATCTGACCGGTGCAAAAAATAATCTGCTGATTGCCAACATGACTTTGTTTGGCTTTTTTGTTCCAATATTTTAAATTTTTAATTGGCATAGGATTTTTATTTTATTAAGCGTAAACTAATGTAATTTTCAAATTTTTATATTATTATTGCCATTAATGCCTATTTCATTTATAAAAATGATTATATAAAAAATTTTAAATTTTAAAGAATATATACTAATTTAAACGAAAACAATTTTATAGATTTAATTATCAACACTTATTCTCTCTGAAAACACAAGTTTTCCCTTTCTTTTGTAACAATTCTTCTTTTATAGAGATGGGTGTTTGCCTACAGGCGACAACGCTTATTGCGGAGTATCAATACTAATAATGGCACTGAAAGACAAAACCAATCTCTTAAATATAGTTTTTTGGAAAAACGGAAAACATCATCTCTCACAGCTATTCTTTGTATTTGTATTGAGGAATTCCTTCCTCACAATAACGACAAGTTAGTTATTTTCAAGTTAAAACCACCTACTTTGCATCTCTGATCTATCAACACACACACATGAATATATATATATATATATATATATATATATATATATATATATATATATATATATATATATATATATATATATATATATATATATATATATATATATATATATATATATATATATATAGAGAGAGAGAGAGAGAGAGAGAGAGAGAGAGATCAGGGATATCAGGGATGCGGAGTACCAGAGCTTCTTTCTAGTTCTTGATATCCCGTAGGTCTGAAAAGAAATAAAGTTAATGTATTTATAGTAGAAAATAAAATTAATACTTTTAGGTAGGAGGAGCAATCATTTTTTGAACCCTGAGTCCTTAGGTAGAATGACAGCAAAGACTCTAAGATAACTTTAAAATGGTTATTTTCTACGATTTTACTTGTGCAAATAATATTATACAATAAATTGTAAATATATAGAGAGCGAGAAAGAAAGTGAGAGTTTACATACATGTAATATATGATTTTATATATTTAAGTATAAAGTATAAACCTGTTTTGGTAAATAGCAAATAATTTTTAGTTGTTGAATGTAAATTAGTTGAACATAAATTAAACAATCACTTTTGTTATTTAGCTATGCAGATAAAAGTAGAAGAACACATTCATCCTATAGAAAATATAAAGAAAACATTACGACCTATTTGACAAATTGTCCAAAACCTTTAGTAAAACATTGCATGAATATGATAGATAAAATAAATGGTGTGGACTCAATCAGAATTAGTGCAGTAACAAACAGATTGTACAATGTAGCCTCATTTCAGTCTAATAGCAGAGAAACTTACCAATGCTATCTCAGTGATGCTGATCATTTGCCAAGTTGTACTTGCTCTTCTTGGCTATTTAGTGCTTATCCATGCAAACATTTTTTTTTCCATTTTTCTCAAGTTCAATCTTTCCTGGTCTGATTTTGATCCATCTTATAGAAGTTCACCATATTTTATCATTGATCCCTTATCAGATGAAAATAATCATTCAACAACATTTCATTTTACACGTTTGCCTACTGAAGATATATCTGAAAATATCAATGAGAAGCCTCTTGATGATGGCAAACCTTGGCAAGTGTCTAAATATAATAATCAGGCAGTCAAAATTGTTCATTCCATAAATAGTAAATTCTTGTACTTTCATCAAAGTAAAGAACATGGTCAATCACAAGTAAGTCACACTCCTGCTGCATGTCGTGAACTTTTAAATGCAATAATAAACATGACACATTTGAGTGACTCTAAACCAGCAATAAACAATTTGTTTCAAGAACTTCATAAACTTAAAACAAGTTTTGGAGAAACTCTTAAAAGAGAGCAAGGTGTTATTTTGTGTCCAGACCTAAAACCTGAAACTTGGATTAAATCTAATTTACCAAGTCTTGTTAATCTTCCCGTAAGACGCAAAAGGAAGTTGACCAAAAGAGTTGGTATAAAACACGACATCACTAAGGCAGCTTTAAATATCAATGTGACACCAAATGTAAATAATGAATGTTGTAGTTCAGAGATTTTTACTGATGTTATTGATGATAATTGTGAAACATTTACAGTTTCCATGGAACCAATTGAAGTGACAGGAGAAGCATTTGATAATTGCCAAGATTTCCACAAAGTCAACATAGTTAATGATAATGGCAAACTTCAAAGCACTGTGCACTGCATTCAGAATCTTAAATGCTCCTTGATCCAAAATGTTGAAAAAAATGACATAGTTAAAGGAGAAATGCTAAACGATAATGTCATTTTTGTCAACGAATGATGTCAATTCAATTTAACATTGATGTTGGTCTTCAAGATCCCATTAAAGGAAAGGTTATGTCTTTTGATCCTTGTCCTAGCAAACCTTTTGTACAAATTCTTCATGATTGAAATATACATTGGGTTTGCATTACAACTTATGATTGCAAGCCTGGAGAAATCTATATTTTCGACAGTCTTTTTCATGGTTTAATAAGTATTGAGACTAAAAGACAAATATGCTCCATCTTACACTGTTCACAAAAAAAAAATTGTTATTAAAGTTTTACCTATACAGCAGCAAACAAATGGGGTAGATTGTGGGCTTTATGCTATTGCTTGGGCACGCCAGGTACTAGAAACAAATGGCATTCCACCAAGTACTCATATGTTTGAGCAAAATGAAATGAGGAATCATCTTTTAAACTGTATACTAAATATCCAGTTAGATGTTTTTCCAAAAGCAATTACCCCAACTATGTTTAGAAGATGCACAGCAAAGAGTTTTCATATTCCTCTACATTGTTCCTGTCGCATGTTTTGGACCCAAAAATATGAGCATATTTTTAATAGGTATGTTATCATATACAATATTATGTTTGTGCATAAGACGATATTACACATACTGAAGGGGTATGTAGAAATTTTTAGTTTTTACAAAGGCTATTTATCATAGTGAAGATGAATGTCGATATTAAATTACCACTTAACTTTGGTATGCGTATATATTATTTATAACACCAAATTCATTTTAAATTTTTAATTTTTTGTTCAGACAAATGGCACAATGTTTTCCTTGTAACAAATGGTTTCATCGTGAATGCGAAAGTTATCCACTGTGTGCATATGAGAAAGAAGATGTTATCTGGAACTGTCATGACTGCCAGATGCAAATAACAGAAAGCTGAAGTTTTTCTGTTTCCAGTTAAGGGTTTGCAAAAAAAAAAAAATTTCTTGTATAGTCAGTTATGAATGAATAAAAAATTTTCAAAAATGAAAAGACAACTAAAATCGGTCCTTCAACCGTTACACTAAAAGTTGGGTTTTGAAATATTGGAAAGGTAACCTGTGATATTTAACTGTGAAAAGGTAACAACTTTTAAAAATATGATCAATTTGTTTGTGTGATGGTAAGTTTATTTGCAATCTTGCATGTAATATTAATATTGTAAATGATTATTTGGTAAATGTAAATGGTATATGTTTTTATTATAAAATGTTTATTTTTCATTACAACTCAATGAAGAAAATTATGCTAGTAATGTTGCTACTGGGTATCTTTTTGCATATAGTTTATTAACGGTAACAAAAATGAAATGATACTGGGATTGCAATACTTTGGTAACGATAACAACAATCAAATGATACTGGAAATGCATTTAGTTGGTAAATATAACAACGATTTAATGTTACTGGAAATGCAAATAGCTTGGTAATGATACCAGCAATCCAGTTGTTGTTACTGGAAATGCATATAGCTTGGTAATGATACCAGCAATCCAGTTGTTGTTATTGGAAATGCATATAGCTTGGTAATGATACCAGCAATCCAGTTGTTGTTATTGGAAATGCATATAGCTTGGTAATGATACCAGCAATCCAGTTGTTGTTATTGGAAATGCATATAGCTTGGTAATGATACCAGCAATCCAGTTGTTGTTATTGGAAATGCATATAGCTTGGTAATGATACCAGCAATCCAGTTGTTGTTATTGGAAATGCATATAGCTTGGTAATGATACCAGCAATCCAGTTGTTGTTATTAGAAATGCATATAGCTTGGTGAAGTTATGTAATACCGGATAGATGGTTATTAAATCTATACTGGCAATTGTCGTCACTAATACGTTGTAAGTATTAATCATTATAACATTAACCTTTTATATTGTTCAATATTACTTTAAATATTTCAAAAATTTTTACATAATCAATTGCAACAAATGGTGATTATGCCACATATATTTTTTATATCACTGGTAATTGTAGCAGTTTTATTTTTAGGAATTTGTCTATGATAACGCCTAATGTCTCAAGTTTTACGCCTAAATCTCTTAACATAACGAAAACGCAATGTAAATAAACAACATTTTCATTTTTAATGAATAAAGTGTAACAAACACGAATGAAGTTAAAACGCACATCTAAAGATACTGTAATATTTATAAAACAAACATTTTTTAAATACATTTCAATCATTGTCTTTGTATTTTTTGTATCTTTTTAAAAAAATCTGTATCAATATATGTTGACTATTCCTAATTTCATATTTTTTAAAAAGATTCTTTTAAATCAATATACCTAGTTAAATCTTGAGGCGCTTCTATTACAATGTAAATTTATGTTGCAATTAAAATTTTATCATTAAATCTGTTTTTGTTTATCCATTTAAGATTAAGAAATTGTTTTTATTGTCCGTTTTCAGCAAAGGCCCGAAACTTTTTTCAATTTTACCGTAAAATCTTAAATTTTAGAATATTTGCTTTTGAAGTTACATTTCCAATAACTAATATTTTTTACATTCCCAATAACTAATACATTCCCAATGAAATTACATTCCCAATAACTAATATTTTTTAAGAGAAAATTTGTTTTTAAATATTGATATTTTAAATTCGTGGCACTTGTTTATGATTTCCTTTAATTACAACGAGTAGGGCATACCTACAAACACTAACCCTTTCGAAATTTTATAGAGCCTGTTTTTTTTATCGTTATCGTCATCATGAGGTCCCTATTTTTTTTTTCGCTTGTTGTTGTTTAAATCAGCAGTTAATAAATTATACCAAGCGGTAAACTTGAAGAGAACTTAATGTGCCCAAAATTTTGTTGATATTTCTATTTAGCAAAATTAACAAACTACTTTTATATGTTTTTTTTATTAAAAACTAATTAAACCGAGATTAGACTTATAGCTGGGTTAAGGCCGTTTTCGTCGTTTTTTTTTTCGTCGTTACTTTTTCGTCGTTGAGCATGCGCAGATTAAACTTTTTTTGCGATAATACTGATTTTTTTTTGCTTCAGCGTTTCGCTGCAGCGAAAAAAAAATTCGGATTCATTTCCACTTTTTGCGAATCGCCATAAGTGAAAACCAATGAAGTTTTGAATATTTATCACGTGATGTCAACATTGAAAAATAGCGAAAACATGTTTTTAAAGTAACAAAGTTCTTAACTTGGCGTTCTTATTAATTTTATATAAACTTACTCTGAACATTAGTAAGCATGAGTAAATTTATCAAAAAAGGGGCAAGACTTACATAAAAAAATGACCAGATTTATATATAAAACTAAATCCAGAATTTACTTATATAAATTTTCACACTGTTAATTACGAAAGTTACACTTCATAAGAATGTTTATCTTTAAGTGGCCACACAAAGATAAACCTTTTTGTGAAAAATTCTACATAGAGTTAAACCTGTCGTTCGTTCTTGCAGTAACAGTTTTTAATAGAAATGTTCATATCAGAGTTTAGCATTTATTTTTTTATACTTTCTTGTAAAAAAAACCTTATATTAAATGATTATATTACAAAATAATATCACATCTTACATAAAAAGGCAGAAATGTTAATATTAATGCACGGATAGAAATTTTCACATGCTTCAAAATAGAAAGTATGCTGAAAAAGTAATAAATGCCTTTACTTACACCTACAGCGTAAACTTATTGCTGTCATTATTATTGTTGACAACGAAAAAAAAGTAGCGCGAAAGAAAGTAAGTGGAAATTAAAACAGCGTTTTTGTCATGGCGAAAAAATTCGCTTCGCGCGAATATTTCGTCTTGTGGAAAGCGGCCTTTACTGTCGGTTGATTTTTTTCTCATTTAACTTTAGTAATAATTTCAGTTCGAAAAACGTAGTTAAAAAATTCCTTGTCAAATTCAAAAAAATCTTGACATCTTAAGGTGGACATCCCTATTAATTCGGAAATTTAAAAAATCAATTTTTTGTAAATGCAATGCATTTTAGTGAAGCTGCACCGAGCAGTGAACGCCTTAGGGATGAATTATAAGTTAAAAAGAGTTTAGCAGAGTGAGATAAAAGTACAAAAGAACAGATGTCCAGTAGAAAACAAAGAGCTTCAAAGTTGAAAAACTTTTAAAAACTGATATAAGTAAAATGTAGTAAAAAATAAATAAGAATAATAAACAATAGTCAAGGAAAGTCATTAGTTGTTGTGCTACTAAATTGTTGTTAGTCCAGCGTAAATGTGATGAATAGATATAGTTGGTAATGGAGTAAAATTATTCGTTTTATAAGTAGTCACCCTTTGGTTTGTATTATTAGGATGATAAACATACATTATAGATATAAGTGTCATGAACGTCTCAAGTACAGTATGGATTCGTGCCTTATGTTGCAGTATGAACACATGAAGACCTCCAGCTTTCATCCGAGACTGGTATCCCAAAAGAAGTTCCACTCTGGGTCTACACGAGGGTGTCTTTTTAAGGTATCCCATCGTGTTATCCCAAAAGGACTATTCTCAGAGTATCCAGTCAGGACGATAACCACAGACTCCTGATTTGACACTGGGACCAGAGGACACTTAGCGGGGTTCAGTACAACTTGCAAACAGTAGTAAGTAGTTTTTTGACTTGAGTGTCCATGTTTTTTGACTTGAACGTCCAGTGTTTTGTCAAAGTGTGGCATGGGTCAATGAGAGTTGTGAACTGCTTTGAGTTCATTCAGGTATGTGTAATGTAAATAGATAATATGGTTTACGTGTGTAACTATTGTAGCAGCATGCCTCAATAGTAAGAGTTATCAGTACAAAAAATAGTTTAAGGTCCTTTAAGTAGATGTAACGTAAGCTAGGCGTGATTTTTAGTAGTCCTATGACGTGTTTCTAGAGAATAAACAAACTATTATAACTAGATGATCTAAAATATTAAACTAGAATTACATTAATATAAAAACAAAAACTAATATATTAATTTATTAACTAATAATTTTTATAAAAATTACCACTAATACATAACAATCATATGGAGTTTTGTAGTTTCACCGGTTAATATGAGGTTTTGAAAAAGTGTTTAATATTTTGTATAAGTAAAAAGAATCACAATGCATAAGTCACGTGACTGTGATGTTACGAGAAGTATTTAAAATGGAGTGGAATTATTCGTTTTCTGAAAATCATGACCTGTTATTTGCTTAATAATATTCATAGTTACTTGTGTCTTAAGCTATCAGATGATGTATGTAGCAGAGTTGGAGTAGAGTTATTTGTTTTTAAGTAGACATCCGATGATGTATGCATGATTAGAATTTTTCGTTTTTTAAGTAGTTATCAGATGATGTATGTAACAGAGCTGGAGTAGAATTATTCGTTTTTTAAGTAGTTGTCAGATGGTTTATGAAAGAGAGGTGAAGCAGATTTAATCGTTTTTTAAGTATTTGTCAGATGTATGTCACAGATCTGGTATAGAGTTATTCGTTCTTTAAGTAGTTATCAGATGGTGTATAAAAGAGAGCTGGAGTAGAATTACTCCCTTCATTCTTCCCTTCCAATTAAAGGAGGAGTTGTCAACTCCGTTATTGTTGACCCACTTCCTGTAGGAGCTGTAGGAAGTGGGCCCACGATTCCGTCGACGGTAAATACGATAGCCATCGTAGGACAAATCTAACATTGGAATAAAAAAAATATGTAAGGAATATGTAATGTATGATTTTTAAAGTATCACACTCAAAATAATACCAATACCGTTTGTGGCTTGTGAAGAAAACGTTACTGTATCTGAAAAGTAAATGCAAATATTTCAGTTTAATAATAGGATAGTTTATATAGTTTAAATATCTATCTAGTATAAAGTAAAACTTAAAAAACCTTTATCTTCTTCTAATTGCTTCACACGTAGTACTATAGAGGTAAATGAAATGAAAAATGATTTAATTTTTTAAAATTGAAGTAAACATGTTATATAAAAGATCACTTTAAGTTTCTACAACAAATAAACGATAACATTTAAAACGTACAGGTATCTTTTTGCAGTTCCACTAAAACAACAAAAAGAAAACATTCATTATAACATAAGCAAAACTTTTGTTTTACAAAAAAAAAAAAAAAAAAATTTTTATATTTTTATAAATATTTCTCTATTATAAATGTAAATTCACTGACATGTTATCAAATGATTTAACCAGTGCCCAAAACACATACCAAAATATGTATGTATTAAGTTGCCTATTGCATAAGACAAAGTAATTTGATTGACATATCAAAGACACTTAATTTAAGTGGAAATTGTTATTGATTGTTAATAGTACTTTTTAAACAATGAGATAAATTATATAGCAATCAAAACGATATGGTCAATAGTCTTGGATACATGCATGTTTACTAAAATAAAAAAACAAATGATAAGACTCAAAAAACAAAAAAATTATTGATAAAACTACCTTTACTGAAGCAGCATTTTTTCTAGAGCTAAAAATGGAATAAAATAGAAAATTATAAAATGATGATACATCATAAAGTATTATCTTAGAAAATACTGCGAATAAGAAATTTTATACTTTTCTTTGATCCCCTGGATCTTGATTGAGTCAGCTCCGATTCTTCTATAACAAAATTAGAACTAGATTACTTTTAACAATTGATGTACTTGAAATGAATGATTTGATAAGTAACAAAAGAGAGTAATTATTTATTTGTTTTTTTTACCTGACGACAAAACCTCTTCCCTTTTCTTTAATTCTAAAAGGTTATAACAATAATTATAAAAACATTATTTTAAGTACAAAATGTAATTACAAAAAGATGATACAAAATAAAGTAATGTCTTTAAAATACTGGGAATAGAAATTTTTATACTTTTCTTTGATCCACATGATCTTGAGCGAGTTGGCTCCGACTCTTCTATAACAAAATTGGAACTAGATTACTTTTAACAGTTGATGTAGTTAAAATGAATGATTTGATAAGTAACAAAAGAGAGTAATTATTTATTTCTTTTCTTTTTTACCTGAAGACAAAGCTTCTTCCCTTTTCTTCAATTCTAAAAGGTTATAACAATACTTATAAAAACATTATTTTAAGTACAAAATGTAATTACAAAAAGATGATACATCATTAAGTAATATCTTAAAAAATACTGTGAATAGGAAATTTTATACTTTTATTTGATCCACGTGATCTTAATCGAGTCGGTTCTGACTTTTCTATAACAAAATTAGAACTAGATTACTTTTAACAATCGATGTACATGCAATGAATGATTTGATAAGTAACAAAAGAGAGTAATTATTGAAATGTTACCTGACGACATCTCAGCTTAATTATTGGATTCTAAAGAATTATTCCATATATTAATATATAGTGAGTAATATTTACATTAAACGTTTCATACAATAGTCTATATAATTCTAAATAAATAATACAAAAAAATAAAATTAATTATATAAAACATTAAATGATTTATTGTTGAATTATTTAGTTCGGTGTTAATGATATCATTATAGTTAGTCAGAAATAAGATCTATAAGTTAGGCAATAATTTGCTGTTGTTCTTGGTGCTTTTACCACCAGTTTCTGAACATATCTAAAGCATTTTATGCAACCTGTAACAACCTTATGATTGCCCATATTAATGATACTTTTGGTGTCACAGATATTGCAATATGGTACTATCTTTTGGATGATGAAAATGTATAATGATAGTGAAATCAATAAACGCATTTTGTATTATTGATCAATAATTGCATTAGTAGTGTAAGGCACCACATGAGGCCCTGCGGTAACATACAAGGAACGCAAACCAAACCCAGAGCGTAACCCTAACTTTCAGGGTTGAGATTTGGTAAGGGTATGGGTAAGGGTTTTCAACAATACTTGTTTTATATAAGCATTTTTTACGGACATACTAAAGGGTGTGCCTGAAATACCCGCCCGCCTTTTTTAAAAATTTACTTTTGACTAATTAACAAACAAATAAAAATGAAACAACAAATAAATAAAAAAATATTTTTGATGCAATCAATTTGCACAATACTGTAGCTTATCATTATTTTTATATACTAACATTTATACTACTAATAAATCTTTGGAAGACTGATGCAGTTTTATTGATTTATATATAAATTTATAGAACTGTTCAATATTAGATTAGCTGTGCTATATCTTTAAATATAAATTTTCTTGCTATAATCTCTGGATCAACAAAGAAAAGCATCTAGAAAAGAGGCCCTCCTTAGTTAATCCAAAGAAATTTTGTTTTGAACAGGGTTCACACCAGAAAAAACTATTGAAATTCCAGGATTATTTATAGGACAATTTTTTTATTTTACCAGGATATTTGCTTCATTATTTCTAGGACGTACAATATAAATAGTTTTTATAGACTTTTTTATAGATAGCCCAAAGATAACACAAAATACGCTACTAAATGTAAATTAATTTAGAAATCAAATGTAGAATAAAGAAATATATTACAGCTACTTAAATATAGCTACAAGCACTGAATAACTAAATATAAATTCAAATAAAATTTAACAAGGAACTATTTTTTATTTGAAAGGAAACTTTTAATGCAACTAATTTCAAAAACATCTTAATCATTTCAAATACTCATAATATAAATACGGTTTTAGCAAAACAACAAAACAAAAACTAAAACTCTATAACTACAAAAATATGCTCTATAACTACATAATTAACTCAAAATGTATAACTCATATAACTATAACTAAAAAATATACTCTATAACTACAAAAATATACTTTTAAGATTTAGCAGTGAATTTATAATTTTCATGAATCATCTTTTTTTCTTGTAAATCATCTTTTGATTGTACAAATCCTTGATTTCCTTTTGTAACAGCGTAATAAGATGTATTAGATAGGAAAGTGAGCAACTCGTTTTTTAAAAAGTAAGCTAATCCGAATGTTTCAACATAACTGGCATTGGTGGGTCCACATTGAAACAACTTAGCAATGATTATCTGGAAACATTTTACAAAATAATTTACCAGAATCAGCTGAAGAATTCAATAAATATTTAGGATAAACAATATTAAGAAGCCAACAAACTTCAGCTTCTAGCGTATATGTATTTATTAGCATTTTATAATTTTTTTTTTTTTTTGATGTTCTGCTTTATTTGAGCATTTTGACATTTTGACAAACTCATTAACTAAAACAGTGTTAGTAGCAGTTGGCATTAATGGCTTGATATTGTTTGCAGAAGGAGATCTCTCTATGTGCTTTTTACCTTCCATGTGCGAAGTTAAAGCAGCTTTTTCTGTAATAGCAATATAAATGTCTTTAGTACAATAACTGAAAATCATAACAGTTTCCGTCTTTTCTGTCAACAAGCCATTTTAATTGAAAAATACATGTATTTTTAGGCGTTTTCTAATTATTTTATCCAAAAACAAAAACAAAAAACATGAACAATTAAGGAGTCAAACAGAATTTAGAATCTCTAATATTTCATACTTTAAAAAATTATTCAAAACTATGCAACAATGCAATAACTAAATGCTAATCAAAACTAAATACATAAACTACCTATATTTTTGATTTATAGAAACCTCTGTGATGATATCTTTTAAACAATATTTTTAAAACAACTTTACCTTATCTAATATTGTATCTAATATTCAAAAAGACCTAAACACGAAAAGTCTTACCAAATCTTGTAACTGAAATTTGAAAAAATTTGAAATTTGAAATTTTAATATTGTTTGAAATATGTAAAGCAACAACTGCGTAATATATATAATCAATATAAATCAATATATATACAACAAATCATATATATATATATATATATATATATATATATATATATATATATATATATATATATATATATATATATATATATATATATATATATATATATATATATATATATATATATATATATATATATATATATATATATATAATCCAATAACAAGTGCACGTAACATTACACTTAAATTATTACATATAATATTACAAAACGATAAAAAATAGTAAATAATTAGAAGTACCTTAACTTTAACTACTTGCGCCACGAGATTTCGAAAATTTAATGTTGTTAGAAATAACATGAAAGTAACGCATGCGTATAACATTCCAAAAAACAGTTCTAGGTCTGCGATTTTTTCGAAATCGGAAATGTTAGAATGAACGACATTAAATAGCACTAACCCATAATGACAGGCCTTGGTTAATAAACGAACGGCTATTTCCTGAGATCGATCCCTGTTTTGATTGGTTAAAAATTTTGAGTTTTGCAGAGTCCGATTTTAAAACATTTCGTTAGCCGGACTCTAAGACTTGACGAAATTTTTAACGCATGCGTTGTTTTAGTAGGTTTAAATTCTAAATCTTGTTTTAAATTTAAAAACAACGCGCGTTCTTCTAATAGCAACTAGTTTGGTGAACTTTATCAGAAATTTATATTTATGGTGAAATTTATCAGAACTTGTTTCCTAAGTTTGAAAAATAATAAATTACAATGGTAAGTTTTTCTATTAATTATAATAATTATTATATGATGAAAAAAGATTATAAAAATTCTTTAATAGCAAAATCTTATATTTACCTTCATTCAAAATAAATATAATTATATTTATTTTTGAATGAAGGTAAATATAAGACTTCTATATATTGTAAAGAAATTATATATTATAATATATAATATATTATAAGTTAATATAGGGTAAAGTAGGGTAATTTCGGCGTATTAAGCTATTTTGCTGTTTATAGACAACGGTTGCTTTAATAATGTTAAAAAATCATGCATATCGATACACTGCAGATATATCTATTAAATAATAGTTAAAAAATTGTTTCCAACTTACAAAGTTTTACGTAAAACCTGTTTTTTACAAAATACTCAAAAATGACGAAATTAGCGACCTAGTATGGTATTTTCGGCACTATGGTACGGTAAATTCGGCATAGTTATGAAAATTAAGAAGTTTGTTGAAAACGCATTAATATATTTAAAATATTATAAACAGCTATAAATCTGGATTGTATAAAGAATTGTCTCTTAAATAGAATTTGTTACACCTAATTGGCACTTAATTAAGGGCGTTTCAGTTGCAAAAAATAATAATTTTTGAACCACCTATTTATTTTATTAAAGTATGAATGTCATGTATTTTTAAAGTATGAATGTCACCTTTTTTATTAAGGTATGAATGTCACCCAAAACAGAAACCTTATTAACTATAAATGTGCTTCCAAAGTATAATTGTTAATGAAACGATTACTAACTTCTACGATTTCGATGATTATTTCTAAATTATGTTTAAATAAGAATTTATGTTTAAAAGCTCATAAGTAGTTCATAAAATAATATTTTACATAACTTCAATAGTTAAACTTAAAAAAAAAAAAAAAAAAACTCAAAGGAAATTTTTTTAACAAGAGATTTATTTAAGAAAGTTAAAACACATTTTATCAATATATGACATATAACTTTTTTTTAAGAATCAGTACAGTCATCACAAGTAAATACTTTTTTAGTATAAACACCACATATAGCAGCACATGTTTCATGCCACCATCTACAGCATTGAGGGCATTTGTCCCACTTATCTTTTAAATAAGGATCGACATGATCACCATAGCTGTATTGACATTTTGCACAAAGTTGTTTATTAATCGCACCTTTAGCATCAAGGTTTTTCAAACACGTCTTTTGATGAGTAGATATACTTTTTTTAATGCACTTTTTACGTGGCTGTCTGTTCTTATATTTCAAGTTTAAAGATTCCTCTTGCTGAGATTTATATGGTGATCCAGTAATTTTTTCAGCATGATTTACCCTCCTTTTTATACCTGTTCGCTTTGCATTTTTAATGTCAAGTCCAGCTAGTGATCCAAATGTAACACCATAAGGTTGTGAGGTTTCATCGTGTGAGGTGGCTAATTCTGATGACTTCTGAAGTGTAAATGATGAATTTGGTGAAATAGATTCTAAATAAAAATTATTTAACTAAAGAGGGTGAATAAAAATAGGCAACATGCAAATTATAAAAAATAGTTAAAATGTTTTTAAAAAATTTGAACTTTCTTTAAGAAACCTTTTTTTAGGTTAATAAAACAACAAATAAGTTAATATTTTGCTTGATTTTAAAAAAGTCATATTTGTATTTTAAATAAAATGCGGAAGATGTTAAAAATAATACAACATTTATGACGATTTACCTTTTTGAGTGTCAATAACACAATCTGTAACAAAATCAATATTATCTAATTCTTTAGCAAAGTCTAACCCATTGTTGAGAGTAGGGTGCATTTCAGAGGTATTATTTGGTTTTGAAATTTTTGATACAACATACGAGTGATAAGTAGCCTTGGCTGCAGCAAAGTCTTCTTCAGTAAACACATTTCTATCAAATGGATATATTCCACATTTTTTGAACCCTGACTG